GTTAATATGCTTCACATTTTGCTCACAATGTAGTTATTTGGCATACATGTCTATACATATGAATAATAAAAAGTAAACCTCATTGAGCCTTCTTGCTCTTTCATACGGAATAACACTGACACTATTATCTACTACCATGTTTCTCAAGTAATGGGTCACAACCCAAAAGTGAGTCGCAACCAGGGGCAGACTGGGCCGTGGGGCAAGTGACCCCATGCCTTTCTAATGCTCCAATAAAACGTCCAGTGCCCTGACAACATAGCTTAATAAAAACCTCTGGCCACACTAATATAAAACTTAAGAAGGCCGGGACTGCAACTATGGCCAGCCTTAATATTTGTATTAATGCGCTCATTCCTCCTTCCTCCGTGGCAGCGCTGGGAGGAAGTGACATATAACCAGGGGTGGACTGACCATATGGAAACTTGGGCACTGCCCAAGGGCCCGGGGTCAGTCGGGGGCCCCAGGGGCCCCCATGAGATGCCCCTGGTACCTTTTGCATAAGCTGTTTTGAGTTTGGGCAAGGACACAGGGGCCCCATGATCCCCTATTGCCCAGGGGGCCCCATGAGTTGTCAGTCCACCCCTGCATATAACTACACTTCATTCCAGCCAACCAGCTATGCAGGAAGGAAGAAAAGCACCACTAGATGCCAGGGAATGACTCTGCTAGGTACTTTTCCTGGGTTGTGACTGGGTGATGGAGAGTTCTGGTTCAGCTGAAGACATAAAATAGGAACAGAATGAACATTGAACACAACCTCAGAGTTGCTTTGTCTACCATCACCTCAGACTTTGAGACACTTATCAAGAGCAAGAAGCATCCCCAGTTTTCTTATTAGTTCTATTTAATTTCATATGTTTCAATTACCATTTATTTTATTGGATTTTAGGCACTTTCATTTGTGGTGCTAGAGCATGTTATGGTGAGACCACAGAGACATTTATTTAAGCTAGTGGCTGGCATTGTATTACAGGTTTCTCACTATTATTTAAAAGAATGCTTTTTGATGTTTGTTTGATGTTTTTTGTTTCTTAGCATGCGTTTTTTCCCTTTGAGGATTGGGCTTTTATATAGCCCTGGTCTATCACTGTCACCTCTCCCTTTGGTTTTCCGAAATTACTTAATTGAGGTGAATTTAGTAGTATTATTTCCTTCTTGAGTGTTTTTTACTACTGGCAGGTTGATTAGTTTCATCTGATCTCTGCTTCTAATTCACTACACATATCTTATTTCAGTGTTCTAATAGGACTGGTATTTCTAGCTCTTTTTGTCTTTGATGTATTGTTACTGGTATGGCGGTAATAAGTAGTGTTCATCGAATCCTTTTTTATATACTTCTATCTTAACAAGGTAAAAAAACAAGGTTTTTTTTGCTTTAAGTTATTAACCTAGAATATTGGGTGGCAGTTGATTGATTTTTCTCTTTTTATATACTTTTGCATTTAGCCTATGGGTTCCGTTACCAACCATTTGAGCTGTCTTTATGTCCAGGCTGAAATTAGAACTTTTTGTTCTTCTAAACCACCTACTAATTGGCCTACAAACAATACGTACTATTGTGCTAGTTATGCTTTGGCTGGTAAGTTGCCCTTCATCGATTTTTTGAGACCTATTTATGAATTATTGATTACTATGTCTTTGGCATTAACTTATATATTGTGGTTATCTGATTTGTTAATATGTTTATTGTCATATTTTGTAATTGACATGATTTGTTGTTATAGTTGCTATATTTAATATCTCCTGAAGAAGCCTTAAAATAGGTGAAACATGTTGAGAAATAACGCACCGGATATTGCTTATTGATTTTAAGTATCATCACCAAGTTGGATACTCAAATATATATTTCATATTTGTGAACTTTTTAAACTATTTAAATAAATGTTATATTTTTTGTCGCTATTTTCTCATTATTGTTGGTACCTTTAAAGCCCTGTTAACTTTTTTTCTTCAGTGAGGAGTTCATTCTCCTCTTCTTTATCTTTCTTTGTATCCTCTCCTCCCTTCTCTTGGAATTAGTTCTATGTAATTCAATATGTATCAATTACCATTTATTTTATTGGGTTTTAGGCATTTTCATTTTCTCTAGCGCTGTAATTATTGTACAATCCATTTTGGAAGGAAGCTGTTTGTTTACGGTTTAAAAAGTGTATATACATTGTAGAATACAGCACTGCAAAGTTGTTTTGTGGAATAAATTATAATGTTTCGGAAATTAAATTTTTTGGGGTCGTGACTTAATGACCAAGGATAAATGTGGGTCCTGAGGTTCCACAGGCTGAGAACCACTGGTCTACAACTTAAAACCACTAGCCATCTTTTCTGCTGAGTGCTACTGTTGTTAGTACATGTTTAGACACACTCCAGATTTAGTGAAATGAGGATAGGAAGCAAGGGTATGTCTAAGTGGTGGGGTGGAGGAGATATTGTAACCCTGGGTCGCAAATATGTGTTTCTGGTGTGGAAGGATATTGTTAAATTTAACACAGCATCTACTTGTTGGCGCTGGGCCTAACCACCATATTTAACAAAAGTAAAACCTTGAAAATACCTATCTTCTAAGGCCCTGTTTACACATTTGCATGTTAGAATGCACTAAAACACATGTGTGATCAATGGCAATATTATTGAGAGAGCCAGTTGGCATCTGTGAACTACTGAAAATAGTTCAGGTCCGATTTTTGTCAAGTTTCATGTATTTTTAGGCCCATAGAAGTCAAAGGTAATGCATGAAAACACACTGAAAAAGTGTGACAACACATGTGATAAGTGCATCTCCATTTGCCCCAAAACATAATAAAAAAGGCATCAACATAGAAATGGACAGGGGTGAACCTAGCCTAAGACAAATGCATTCAACTGATTATCAATAAATTATTGGAAATGTATGGTATAGAATCTCTACCTCGCTTAACACATTATTTGAGAACCTTTGCAAGGCCTTTGAATCTTGTCAAAAATCTCCTCAGCGTCTGTGAATCTTCCAAATATCATATATAAACTTGATTCATCTCCAAAAAAAACAATTCTTTTGTGTCCACGTGTACCTTAAAAAGAACAAATGGCTACATATAGTGCATTATCCTCAAAAATATAGCAAAATCAATTATCAGTGTGAACTTGTGTTCAAAATGTATTTATAAAAATAACCTAGTGTCCACTGAATATGGCTGAATTAAATACTCTTACTCTAAAAAATACTTTATATAGCTATACATCTCATTCCCCATAAGGGTCCACACATGGCTGATCCTACGGACGCATCATCATCCTTATAAGGGATACCTCCAAAGAAAACGCATCATAGTGTATTATCCTTTAAACATGTGACAAGTGCTCCCCTCAGTGAAACAAAAAGAACCACTCTCCACCACCTTCCAAACCATGCACCTTACCGGACGACATATATATCCAATAGCATAAACAGATGTGAGATGACTTCTCTTAATCCATACTGATCCAATCTTACTTTATAACAGAAACATGGAGAAATAATGAGAGCAACTAGAAGCATCCCATACTATAGTACTATAGTACACCCTACCAAAGTACAAAGGTGTACTATAGTAGGGGATGCTTCTAGTTGCTCTCCTTATTTCTCCATGTTTCTGTTATAGAGTAAGATTGGATCAGTATGGATTAAGAGAAGTCATCTCACATCTGTTTATGCTATTGGATATCTTTAGTCCGGTAAGGTGCATGGTTTGGAAGGTGGTGGAGAGTGGTACTTTTTGTCTCACTAAGCGGTGCTGAAGAGGGGAGCACTTGTCACATGTTTAAAGGATAATACACTATGATGCGTTTTCTTCGGAGGTATCCCTTATAAGGATGATGATGCGCCCGTAGGATCAGCCATGTGTGGACCCTTATGGGGAATGAGATGTAAAGCTATATAAAGTATTTTTTACGGTAAGAGTATTTAATTCAGCCCTATTTAGTGGACACTAGGTGATTTTTATAAATAAATTTTGAACACAAGTGCACATTGATAATTGATTTTTCTATATTTTTGAGGATAATGCACTGTATGTGGCCATTTGTTCTTTTTGAGGTACATGTGGACACAAAATAATTGTTGTTTTTTTTTAGATGGATCAAGTTTATATATGATATTTGGAAGATTCACAGATGCTGAGGAGGTTTTTTTTCACTTTGGACTTTCTGGGGAGAAAGTGTGACTTTTTGTGCGTCTAGGGGATTTATTTAATCAATTTAATTTATTTCATTTTATTTTACTTGACTTTGTTAGTAATTTTGTGGGTACACCAGATTTTGATATTCATTTCCTTTGAATCTTGATCTATTGGTGGGCCCTGCAAACCCCAATGTAATGTGACAGCTGATACAAACATCTTCAATCAGAAGCAAATGCCAACTTATACAAATGAGCAAATGGTTAAGAAATCACAAAGAAAATACTCTGTTATCTTGGGTCTATTACTATAGTATGGGGGAGACCTATGGTCTGCCTTTAAAGCAAGGTATATTCCATACTTAAATGTACCAATTAATAAATATATATGGAATACCCAAATTCCTAATAAATCCAATAAATTAAGGTCTGATGTTTAGCAGCCTTCATTTAATTACCCAACATGTTTCATTGCTCACTCCAAACCTGACTCAGCATTTAGTTTTAGTAAATACTATGATTACCCAAAGAGTCCCACTTCGTCCTTGGTTCAGGTCTTTAATATACTGTTCAGTTCTTCTCTGTCATGCTTGTTTCCTGTGTCACCCACTCAGTCCTCCCTCAATTCTCCCACCATCCTTCTGTCACACTGAACATACATTCAGGAATAACTGACTCTGTCATCGTCTTAGCTCATTACAAACAGAACATTACTGTTGCAGAAAGTATATATTTTTTAACAGCACTTTGCAGAGAAAACATAAAAAAGAAAAGATAATACTCAAGCACAAAATAATTGTAAGCAATGTTTACTGTAATAGATGCATGCAACATGGCAATAAGAAGGAACAGATAGTGTATATACCTCCGTTGTCCTATTCACCATCATCTGAAGTAGCATGATTTGGAAAAAGAGCAAAGATTAGTGCCACTTGTATTAATGTTTTATAATATTATCAGTGTTGCTAATGACTTCAGACAGTGTTGTTAAAGTTGGAAATGTTCCTATCCACTATGCCACTGGACATACATACTTATGCCCCATCATTCTGTCAAACCCCACATTAACCCTATATTCACAGCTGCTTAATGTTCCTGTAGTAGAGAAAGGAATAAAGTGACTAAAGGGGACTAAATGTCACTGAAGATTTAATAAAAAGTCATGTTAAAGGATAAGTTCACCTTTGTAAAAAAAAAAATAATAATAATAATAAATGCACATCTTTTTGCAGGCAAAAAGATGTGCATTTATTATTATTTTTCTTTTTTTTATTAGGAGCCTAGGAAGCATTGCGCCCGTGATCAGGACTCCTGCAGACCTGTCTGTATATCTGTGTGCTTGTATGGGCAGGCAGATATACTGTAGACAGGAAGAGAGAATGAACTACCACAGCACTCAACAGCGGACACGGGGAGAACACGAGAGAAGATCCCCAGCGTGCTGTCACATGGGGGCACGGGGGCAACTGCAGCACTAACACGTTACACCACAGGTGTCAAACTGGCGGCCCTTCAGCTGTTGCCAAGCTACAAGTCCCATGAGGCATTTCAAGATTGACAATTACAAGCATGACTCCCAAAGGCTCAGGCATGATGGGACATGTAATTTTGCAACAGCTGGAGGGTCGCCAGTTTGACACCCCTGCATTACACCCTGAATACAGGTGTAACATGTTAGAAAAAAGGTGAACTTATCCTTTAGCTATCATGATCTATCTTTTTATTAACCTTTATTACTTTTCTCTTGCATATAACCTTTCAGCTGTTTTCACTAACAGTTTTTTCTGAAAACCAGTAGAATTATCTACTTTTTCTAAGTATACATTCCTAAAACACAATAAGCACAAAGGACAGATTATCCTAAAACCTAATGTTCTCTTGCAAACCTTAGGAAAGTCAGTTTTCATGTACATAGTACTTGTTGCTTTAGTGCTAGAAAAGTGTTGGTTACCTTAGACTGCACATCAGCATTGTGGTCATTTTGAAGTAAGAGAGCGGCAGATTTTGTGTCATCCTTCCTGGCAGCAATGTGGAGAGCAGGCAGTCTAACCTTCCCTTTAGTGTCGTTCTCCAGGAGGATTGCTACCACCATGTTATGTCCTTGCTGTAGTGCCACAGCCAGTGGAGTAAAACCATCCTGATAATACAAAAAGTTAAAGAGTCTTATTTATTACTGTCTTGCTGAAATTATGCAGATGTTTCCTGCACATTTATATGTACATGATGTTATACATACAGATGACTTGGGTGTTTCCTTTATCAAGAGGCACACGGATATTAGCTCAGATAATATTTGGAGGGCCTAAGTAACAGCATTTATTGTATGCTGATCACAAAAAATTAGTTCATATTTGGAAACAAAGAACTTGTTTTCAATAATAAACCATCAGTACTGTGGATCTTCACTAGTCTAGACTTCTTATTGCAATACTGTCCAGTAATATTGATATAACAGTTCTGCTTCTGACTTACTCCTTTTCCACATAACTCATATTCTAGATTTGATGGAAACACATGTGCAGCTACTGAGCCTTTATTTGAACATTAGTAACCTAGCTGGTGGTCATGTTTAATCAGCACCATTTCCCAAAAGTATCCCACCCACAATATGCTATATCAGTGGTCTCCAATCTGCGGCCCAGGAGCCAAATGCGGACCTCTTCATACTTTTATCTGGCCCTAGGGGCACTATTCCTTCCACTGACACTAGCAATGGGGCAAATAATTCCTGCACTGAAAGCAACAATGGGGCACTATTCCTTCCATTGACAACAATGCTGTGTCACTATTTCTCCTGCTGACACCAAAGATGGAGCACTATTCCTCCCACTGAAAACAATGGGGTACTATTCCTCCCAATGACACCAACGATGGGCATTATTCCTTCCACTGATAGCAAAGATAGGGCATTATTTCTTCCACAGACACCAATGATGGGGCACTATTCCTGACACTGATACCAATGATGGAGCACTATTCCTCCCACTGATACCTATGATGGGGCACTATTTCTCCCAATGACACCAATGATGGGGCACGAATATTTCCCCTAATACTGAATATGGGCACTGTTTACTCCTACTGATGCCAGGACATTTTCTACTCCCACTGGTCACAGGCCAGCCCTCATACAGTTTGAAGCACAGTAAACCTGTACTTTGTTTAGATAGCTTAGAGGCCCCTGTACTATATGCATTATGAACTCCTGGGAACATGCCTGGGTAAGATTTATAAGAAACAATAGTCTATTGTTGAAAACGTTTTAATCTGGCAAAACAGACTTTTACCTTGACAAGGTTTCTCTGATATTATCCCCTGTAGTTAGCTATTGAAACAGTCCTATTATTGATTTAGATGAGATTATCTAATTCTAATTGGAACTGTATTGCCCACTTCTTGTTAAATGGTTATGCAAATTTCATAAATCAAAGTTTCCATTTTATTTTGAGTTATTTCTAATTAGTGATGGCTATTGCTCTACATGGGAGAACTTGATGCTCGTACTTAACCACTACATGCTGTTCTATTTTATTGATTATAATACCAAAGTCATCCTACTGTGCCTACCAAAGAATTAACCATTTTTTAGTATGTTATTATTCATAAGGCTATCTGGAACCATTTTTTTAATATCAAGTACCAAAGTACCAAAGTCCATCACAGAATACTTCCCAAGTACAACCGCAGAATAGCAGTCACAGGCTTCCAACAATTATCGTTCTACCAGGATTGTAGAACAATAATGGCCCTCAAACGCTTGACCTATAACTTTCTATAAAAACAAGCGCATGGAACAAGCTTATATGCCTCAGCTTCTGCTATAATGTTCAGATGACCAATTTTTCCTTTATCTGAACACCATCGCTATGCCTCTGGTTTGACTTGTGATCTATTATTGAAACCCACAAAGTGCCTCCATTATTGTACTGGAAAATGTTATAGCAGAACAGAAAGCATTCGAAGAGTCAAGATATTATACTGCATGTTCTAATAGGATCAGAAGAGGCAAGAAAATGAGAACACAGAAAGAGTAGGTATAAAAGATATTCATACTTGTTAAGGATAGGAAGAAGACCAGATAATTGAAGACATATAGAAATCAGTTTGATATACTGCATTGTATCTAGTCAGACCATTTTCTTTTAATTAAGGCACATTCAAATATCAGAGTAGAAAGTCATACACAACCGACTGCCCGTCACCCAAAAGTCATTATTTCACTTACCTCTGTGGCAGTGCTTTGATTGGCCCCATTTTCCAGCAAATATTTTACAACTTCAATGTGATTCTCCTGGGCAGCCATATAGAGAGGGGTAAACCCATTCTGAAAGCAAAAGCAAAGAGAACATGATCATTTAATGATGATTTTAGCATTCCCTAAGAATCCATTAAAAAAGCTTCAATTTTCTATTTGAAAAACTTGCATATCAATCATTGTCTACAGAATCATTATTGAATTGAATAATGTTCACCATAAAAGATAGCAAATATACCAAGAAGGTAGTTAACTCAACGGTTAGATAGATAGATAGATAGATAGATAGATAGATAGATTTAAAAATATTTAGCAATTGGTTCAGTAGTTGCTGAGCTTGTAACATTTAAAGCCTTGTCAAAACTAAAAAAAAAAAAAAAAAAAAAAAAAATTAGTACACGGGCTACTACTTACTATGTATCCAATGTGTTCCTTATGTTGCTGGCTCCTGGATTCCTAAATGTTCATCCTTCAACCCCCTTCTACACTTGCCATCATAATCTGTTGGTGCAGTGTGGAGTTAATAGATCTGAGGAAGCTGTGACAGGCATTCATCAACAATGCCCGAATATACCAGCCCTCTCCACCCAGCTCCACCATTCATAGAAACTACACTACAGCTTCTTTGAATGGAATCTGATCTATGGGGGGCATGTGGCTTAACCCCCTACTGCACCAAAAGATTAGGATGGCAAGGGTAGGAGGGGCTTGAAGGATGAAAATCACAAACAATCCAGGAGCCAGCAGCACAAGGATTCAAGCACACTGCAATCAAGTAATGTCCCTGTGCTGATTTTTGTTTTGTTTTTTTAATTTTGACCAAACTTAGGCTTCAAATTTTCTACGGGCTTTAACTGTACTACAACTGATCATAATTCATTAACAGAAGTTGTATATTGGCTTCTATGAATGAAAAAGCTGGGTTGAAAAGACAGGCATAGCTGGGCACTCTTGATGAGTGCTTGTCACAGCTCCCTCAGTTCTATTAACCCCTGCCACACTGGAAGATTATGGTGGTGGGGATGTTGGGGAGATGGGGCTGATGGGGGTGTTGGCGTATGATGATTTCAAGTAATTCAGGAGCCAAAAGCACAAGGGGCATGTTGGCTTAATAGTAAGTAATGTTCCTTGTGCTGATTACTTATTGTAGACTTTAAAGGTTCTGTGTCAATAGGCAGTTGAATTAAAACTGTTTATCTCCCTATGCAATGTGATAGGAATGCAAAAGCATGGAAAACAAGTTGAAGCAGCTCAAAAGGAGGTCAAGCGTAGGTCAGACAGAAGTCAATAGAAGGTCAAAAGCACCTGTCAAAGAACTGTGAAGCTGGCCATACATTGTACAATTTTCTTATTCAATTTCCATTAGATTTACCTTCAACTATGTAGAGCAACGGCCTGTCTGAGTGCATACAAATTGAAAGTATTTAAGTCTGACCTCCTATTATATGGTTTTGGTAAATATAAGGGAAAACTGTCCAAGAAAATTGTATAATGTATGGTCAGCCTAAATGATCTTAGAAGAGTCTGAAACTGATCTCAAATGCAAACAGAATGCATCCGGAAGCATGCTGCATTTTCCCATCAATACAATCCCAAAGCCTGTCAACAAAGGTCCTTACAGCATTCAGCCCCTCTAAAATGCCAGTGAAACTAATATGCCATATATATATATATATATATATATATATATATATATATATACACACAGATGAAACTCGAAAAATTAGAATATTGTGCAAAAGTTCATTTATTTCAGTAATGCAACTTAAAAGGTGAAGCTAATATATGAGATAGACTCATTACATGCAAAGCACGATAGTTCAAGCCGTGATTTGTCATAACTGTGATGATTATGGCTTACAGCTCATGAAAACCCCAAATCCACAATCTTTGAAAATTAGAATATTACATGCAATCAATAAAAGAAGGATTGTACATAGAACAATATCGGACCTCTGAAAAGTATAAGCATGCATATGTACTCAGTACTTGGTTTGGGCCCCTTTTGCAGCAATTACTGCCTCAATGCGGTGTGGCATGGAAACTATTAGCCTGTGGCACTGCTGAGGTTTTATGGAAGACCAGGATGCTTCAATAGCGGCCTTCAGCTCTTCTGCATTGTTTGGTCTCATGTCTCTCATCTTTCTCTTGGCAATGCCCCATAGATTCTCTATGGGGTACAGGTCAGGCGAGTTTGCTGGCCAATAAAGCACAGTAATCCCACAGTCATTGAACGAGGTTTTGGTGCTTTTGGCAGTGTGGTGCCAAGTCCTGCTGGAAAATGAAGTCAGCATCCCCATAAAGCTCGTCTGCGGAAGGAAGCATGAAGTGCTCCAAAATCTCCTGGTAGACGGCTGCGTTGACCCTGGACTTAATGAAGCACAGTGGACCAACACCCCAAATCAACACAGACTGTGGAAACTGCACACTGGACTTCAAGCATCTTGCAGTGTGTGCCTCTCCATTCTTCCTCCATACTCTGGGTCCTTGGTTTCCAAATGAGATGCAACTTGACAAGAGGAATATGACATTTGAAGCCCATGTCCAGGAATCGTCTGTGTGTGGTGGCTCTTGATGCACTGACTCCAGCCTCAGACAGCTCCTTGTGAAAGTCCCCAACACTTTTGAATGGCCTTTTCCTGACAATCCTCTCCAGGCTGCAGTCATCCCTGCTGCTTGTGCAGCTTTTTCTTTCACACTTTTCCCTTCCACATAACTTTCTATTAATGTGCTTTGATACATCACTTTGGGAACATCCAACTTCTTTTGCAATTACCTTTTGAGGCTTTCCCTCCTTATGGAGGGTGTCAGTGATGGTTTTCTGCACAACTGTCAGGTCAGCAGTCTTTCCCATGATTGTGATTCCTACTGAACCAGACTGAGAGACCATTTAAAGGCTCAGGAACCCTTTGCAGGTGTTATGGCTTAATTAGCTGATTAGAGTGGGACACTTTGAGCCTAGAATATTGCACCTTTTCACAATATTCTAATTTTCTGAGATTGTGGATTTGGGGTTTTCATGAGCTGTAAGCCATAATCATCACAATTATGACAAATCATGGCTTGAACTATCTTGCTTTGCATGTAATGAGTCTATCTCATATATTAGTTTCACCTTTTAAGTTGCATTACTGAAATAAATGAACTTTTGCGGGATATTCTAATTTTTAAAGTTTCACCTGTGTGTATATATATATATATATATATCTTATAGAACCGGTCTTCAGGGTAACAATCGACTTCAGTGCAGGATACCAGGCCTGTATGTACCAAACCTGAGAGAGGGAGTGGTGTGTAGTGCTGTAAACCCTGTAGTGAGAGCTGTGTGTGAGCTCTGGATCTCTAAGTAAAGGTGGGCAGACTGAGTGCTGTTTGTTCTTTGTGTGCCTCTCCTCACTGGTGTGCCGAGATTTTGTTGGACTGTGCTGAAAAGAAGTCGTACATTTGTTGTGATAAAGAAAAGACCTTTTTATGTTAAAAAATATATTTTTTACCGTTAAATTTCTGAAAACATAACTTTAATTGCCGGCAGTGTCCTCTGTCTCTCAGAATATCACAGTTTACATATAAGCATTATATTCAGTAAACATCACACTAAGCACCATTTCAATATTGTATAAATTATTATTTTTCTTTTAATTAGAAGTAAAGTTCTTAGGGCTCATGCACACAGGGCTTACAAAATGCCACTTTTACATGAGTTTGGCAGGGTTTTTTTTCTGCCTGTAAACGTACCTTTTTATTATGCCTATGAGTCCATGAACACACAGGTGTTTACAGGCACATTAGAAGAAAAGCATTTACAAGCAGAAGAAAAAAAAACACCAGTGCATACAGGATAGGGGCTTTTAGCAGTATAACATTTAAGCATTTATTCATTTCTTAATAAATGAATACTCTGGCCTATGGAATCCATAAACACTCAAACGCTTGATGCTCCTAAATGCACCTAAACCTGTGTACAATACTTGGCAGTCAAGGGAGAAATTCAAACAGAAAACAAGTATGGGGAGAGAGAGCGCCACTGTCTAAGTGTAGTAGTGATAGGAAAATCAATTAAAAAAATGGGATGGTAAGCATTGCACGCTCATACACCTGGATAAAACACAGCGTATCAACATGTTCACTAGAGACATCAACGGGTGGCAGTTTCTTAAGAATACTTGGATGGATATAAAATAAGAAAGAGGAGCATTGAGTAATGCCTGTGTTACGCCATCTCTATGTGAGTAAATCTTTTTATCCAACTGGGTTAAAAAACTGGATGACAACTATTGCACTCACATACACATGGATAAAACACAGTGTATCAATATGTTCAGTGGAGACATCAACAGACAGGATACTCCACTGGATATAAAACAACAAAAAAGAGGAGAGAGGGGAAGCGCACCACTCTCTATGTAGTATTAATAAAAGCAATGTACAAAAAAAATGAATCAAGAGGTCATCTCACATAGAGATGTAACACAAATATTACTCAATGCTCCTATTTCTTATCGTTTTATATCCATCCGAGTATTCGTAGGAAGTTGCCATCCGTTGATGTCTCCACTGAACATATTGATATGCTGTGTTTTATCCATGTATGTGAGTGCAATAGTTACCATCAAGTTTTTTTATTGAATTTCCTATCACTACTACACTTAGACAGTGGCACTCTCTCTCCCTCTCCCTGTTTTCTGTTTTTACATGACCATTGGCGGGAAAACTCCAGAACTCGCTTGAAGGAGAGACTGCTGACAATGTAACAATGTATTTCCTCTATTGGATTCATTATATTATATAGACTTTATTTTCAGCAACATTACCTTAAGATTTATTGCCAGTCAGCCCTTGTCCCTTTACCTCTAAGTTGTATAATAGTTGTAACTTTTCAAGTATATCCAAATGTGGCGCCATATTTGATATTGCTTTTTGAGAAATTCAAACACCTAGTGTGAATGAGGCTATACAGTAATGGTGCCATATTTCCTTTAAAATACAATGTATGATCTGTGCATCAGCACCTGCCATGGAGCAAAGTCTCAAACATTTTTACTGAAGAGGAGCCAACTATGGTGTTTCAA